AAAGAAAAATCATCTGTTGTACACTCATCAGTGTGACTCGCTCCATTTTAAGTCATAATCCACATCAAAGTCATAGGGGCCCCATTATCCTAATATGCCCAGGGCCTCCAAAAGGTTAAAGACGGCCATGGCTGTCCGTCTGTCTGTCACCAGGCTTGTATCTCATAAACCGTGATAGCTAGACAGTTGATTTTTTTTACAGATGATGTGTTTCTGTTGCGGCATTAACAACAAATACTAATGAGGGCCGCGGTAGCACAATTGGTCAGTGCATTCGCCCGGATTGCGAAGGGTGCGGGTTCGAGTCCCGTCTGCTGCCTGGTCCGCGTGGAATTTTTTCTAGTTATATTTTCTTTAGATTTAAACATCAAGCAGTTACATGCTTTAAAATAATAGAAATTATAACTATAATTGCTATTTCTTCTTTCAAATGTTTAATACTTGTAAAAGTATTCATTTGACATTGTGGGTTACCTATAATGCGAAGAGATGGCGCTGCCTTGCAGCTTAAGAATGGCTAGAGGAATTTCGACGTGGTCCGTGAGGGCCGCGGTAGCATAATTGGTCAGTGCATTCGCCCGGATTGCGAAGGGTGCAGGTTCGAGTCCCGTCTGCTGCCTGGTCCGCGTGGAATTTTTTCTAGTTATATTTTCTTTAGATTTAAACATCAAGCAGTTACATGCTTTAAAATAAAAGAAATTATAAGAAATACTAAATAAAAATAGAATGAATTTAATATTTATAAAATATTCCCATACAACAAACTTTGTTTTTTTTTTGCCGATTTTTGCTCTATATTAATTACGGCAACAGATGGACACTTGAAATATTCACATAATATTAAGTTATATATTCACAATAAAAATTTATAATTACATTATTAAAATAAAATAAAATAATATTTAAAGTGGCTCTCATACAACAGACGTGATTTTTTGGCGTTTTTGGTACAGAACCCTTCGTGCGCAAGTCCGACTCACACTTGACCGATTTTTTATGAGTCGGTTTGATAAATAATTGATGAGATATATATATTATATATAATATATATATTCACTCGAAAGTAACACAATATTAACTGCGATATTAAAATATTTTTTATACACTTTATTCACTGCCCGGGGCGTCCTTTCGTGTTGCTTTGTGAGATTTAACCTTCCTATAACAGAAAATTGTGTAAACTTTACTGTATAATTTGATCAAAGGAATGTTCAAAACAGATCCTATGAAGACTATGGAAACTCTTTTTGTTGTTATGATTATAAATTTTAAAAATTATCATAAACTTAATACTGACTGACGACCAATGAACCGGAACATTAACAATCAAAGATCAAAGAAAAGCAGAAAAGTAAATGTTAAAAAATGTTGCCTACGGCCAAAAGTTATTGCCGCTATTTTTCCGATATTCTACTTACGTAGTATCTACAGTGCCGTCTTTGACCTATTGGAGGCCCAGGGCATATTAGGATAATGGGGCAACTATGACTTCCGTTTGGTGATTTAACAGGAACTAGAGACTTTGTATTTGACCTATTGATCGCGGGGCCCTGAGCACATGCCCAAAGTGCCCACTGGGAAAGACGGGTCTGAGTATCTACCATCTAGTAACTATTTGCTAATCTGTGGTTCTGTCGCAGTCAGATTGTAGTTTTAGCCGTATTACATATCAGCTAATGTTTTAAAAAAGCGGTCAAGTGCGAGTCGGACTCGCCCATGAAGGGTTCCGTAGCAGCAAATAACATAGTATAAAAGTTCGTTGTAAATTTGATCGATGTTTTAATAATAGTGTATACTTTTTAATTGATTTGTGATTTATGACGTATTAAAAAAAACTACTTACTAGATCTCGTTCAAACCAATTTTCGGTGGAAGTTTGCATAGTAATGTATATCATATAATTATTTTTTTTAGTTTTATCAGTCCCTGTAGAAGTTACAGGGGGGGGGGGGCACATTTTACCACTTTGGAAGTGTCTCTCGCGCAAACTATTCAGCTTAGAAAAAAAAATATTAGAAACCTTAATATCATTTTTGAAGACCTATCCATATGGGTTTGATAAGAAAAATTTTTTGAGTTTCTGTTCTAAGTATGGGGACCCCCAAAATTTCTTGTTTTTTTTCTATTTTTGTGTGAAAATCTTAATGCGATTCACAGAATACATCTACTTACCAAGTTTCAATAGTGCAGTTCTTATAGTTTCGGCAAAAAATGGCTGTGACATACGGACGGACAGACGGTCGGTTATACATGTAATTAATTATTGTTTCTAAATAATTTTGACAATTCTAGTATCTATTATTTTTTATGCGCATACACATTATTAAGTGTAAACTTAGGTTGGACATTTCCTTTTCTTATAACTGTGGTGCGGTGTGACAAAGTGAACGAAACGAAACGAAGACGACTCGGGTGTTTTCTTAGATTAAAAAAAAGGGAAGATACTGTACCCCTAGCACGAACCATTATCGAATTCGAATAGTTTGAAAACCGAAATGTCAATGTAAAATTTTGTATGAAAACTTGAACAGCGGCACAAAGTACGCAACGAGAACTAAAAATCAGTACACATTTGACAATGACATTTCGCACTCGCAACCTATTCGAATTCGATGATGGTTCGTGCTTGGGGTACTGATCAAAAATTCGTAAGACGAAAACCTCTTTCGTGGCGTTGTACACTTTTTTTGTAATGGGTATAAATGTTAAACTCGCGTCAGGACACGTGACCTGATCGAAAATTCGTAAGACGGATTGAGAGTAGACAGCCAGCGCGGCGTACGAGAGGAGGTATCCCCCTCTCTTTCTACGGCGCGGCGAAAATGTATGCCTGCGCCTGCTGTTTCGTTTTATTTTCTTTAGATTTAAACACCAAGCAGTTACATGCTTAAAAATAAAAATTATAAGTAATTTATATGTTTCTACCTCTTCATTAAGATCAAATCTGTATATAATATTCTTTGATAGTTCGTGTCCTTTTCAACAGTATCTATACTTATCCTTTTAAAAAGGTAGCTCTTCAACAGGTAAGTTATGTAACTCTTCTTCCCACAACTTCTGCGAACCTTGATCCAACTTATTTATAATGATTTAAATGATCAAAGGATACCAGTTATCAGTATTAACATCAATGTTTTTCAAACTCTTCAAACACTCATTTGTTGTATCTAAGAGATCTTTTATTCTCTTTGCTGTTTCAGAATATAACTTTCTTTGACCTAGTAATCTATTCAGGATTGAATTTACTATTATTCTTTTATTATTGTATCTGTGGTGTAATGTAGCCCATGCCGTTTCATAATTCTTCTCTGTGATTAGAATGTGCTTTAGAAGAAGCTTAGGTTCCCACTCACACTGCTTTTCAAATAATGTAACTTTTGTACGTTACTTAAAGTCTTATTGTTATGAATTAATGATACATATAAATCTTTGAAAGTAACCCATTCATTATAATATCCTTTGAAATTGGGTATATTAATCTTAGGCAATTACACTTCCTGAGTATTCTCATCCAATGGAATTTGCTGATCATTCTTCACCTTTTGACACTCCATACTATATAATAATAATAATAATAAATATTTCCAACACTCACACCAATTAGCCTAGCCCCAAAGTAAGCACTATAAGGCTTGTGTTATGGGATGCTAGGGTAACGGATAGAATACATATACTGTACACATATAAGTATATTTATATAGAAATAGATATTAAACATCCATGACTGGAGTACAAATGCTCGTATTCATCACACAAACATCTGCCCCCACCGGGATTCGAACCCGAGACCTCTCGAGTCGGCGACACCATGAAACCCGGCGTACAAACCACTCGGCCACGGAGGTCGTCAAACATGAGTTCTACAGTAATTTATATATAATTTCGAATCTAGGAAACAATTTTTCATGATTATTGGTCTTTAGGCCAAACATGTATGGAAGCTGAGCAATCTCCTTTAGTTTTAAGTTTAGAGAATCACGCTAGAATCGACGCCAATATCTCGATGTGTTTCACAAAAAATCTGCCAATGTTTATACAAACTTTGTAAGCTTAATAAAATATACGTAGAATAAAAATATTATTTTTACGGTCTTACTCAATTCCAGTTCGAAATGTCAAAAACACCATCACTATCATAAATTTATTTACAAATTATTTTCGTCAATACAAAATTTTCTTCTTATTACTTATTTAATTATCAAAACTTTCTTTTTCTATCCGGCTTGATTAGGTCAAAATTGTGGACTGTAAAATTACTTTATTTTTATCCCGAAAAATATTAAGTGCCAGAGGGATTTTCAAGAAACTAAGTTAACGCAGACGAAGTCGCGGGCGACCTCTAGTGTAATAATATATATCAATACTGTAATAATATTACAATTAGTACTAAAATAAGATACATTGTCTATAATACCTGTAATAGCAATTTAACTAAATAAACAATTATATCATTGAATAAAAAAAAACAATAATAATTACACACACAGTACAGAATAGATAAGGAAAGAAGGAAAGGATATTATAGGTATAATATCTGTCTTTAGTCTTTACTCCAATGTTATTAAAAAGCTTTTTTTTACTAATGGTCATCATACGACAAAAATAATAATGTTTCCTAGTTCAATGTTATGGCCTATTTCATGTGCTTTAGAGTTTAATATACTTTGGCAAATTGACAGACATTTGGAGAAATTCGCGCAAGCGTAGAACAAAATGTATTTATTGTTCCAAATCGCGTACAAGAAAAGAGACGAAAAAGATCCCACTTATAAGGCGAACAGACAAAGCGCACATCTCATCAAATCAAAGATAAGAACACTTGAGACTTTTCAAATTGGCCGTCTTATACGATCGAATAGTTGTGAGGGACGAATATACGTGATCAATTTTATACTGTGATCCATGGCAATAAGAATAGTAGTGGTTTGTAATACTTTGACAGATTGTGTCGGCCGCCATTTTCCATAATGGCCGCCAGAAGCGCGACATCTATGCTGAGTTTAGTGTCATCGCGAGCGTGCATCGCTTTAGTCGTGTATGTGACTCGCCGATATTATATTGTTTGCAACCATTGTAATATGAATATGACATGGAAAATCGCTATGCGCCGCCGTAAAACTTATCTTATCGTGAGATCATAACCTAACGGGAGTGTGCTTAGTAATATTTCTATTGTGCACTATTTTATTGCTGTTTTAGTTAGTAAAATAATGAATTTGACACGCCGCCGCAGTCTTCTGTTTGAATCGTCGTGAACCTTGTTGTGGGATCGATTTTTAGGTGTTATTAATGAAATTACAAAGGTGCTCGCGAGTGATACTGTTATATAAAAGAACCTGTTTCCTAAGCGTACGAATAGGCGGTCCGTCGTTGTTACTATAGCTGTGCGCCGCTTAGAATCGATAAAGTTGATAAAAAATGCATATTTTCCCCATGGTTTCATAAAGGATTGGGTCAATACCGACTTGCCGGCTTGAATGTTGCAATATCAATCGATTTTTTTGTTTATCCGCTGATACAATTATTTTAATAAAGTGTGACCGTTTATTTCGTGCTAATTGTGTGTTGGTGATGATTTCATTCGATCGTGCAGTGCAGTGTTCTAGTTTCCAGGGAGGTTAGTAAACAAAACCTTTTTAGAAATATAGGTATTCCAAGTTTAAATTGTATTACTATAATGTAATTTTCAGACATTGCCTTTCTGTTACCTAATTAGTCTTTGCAATAGCATTCTTATTTCAAAATTTGACAGATACAGCCAGACCTTTTGTTTCACTATTCTTTATAATATTTATTTTATCATTCTTCCTAGTATTTTGTGGTTCAGTATTAACATAAAAAATAAGCTGTTATTCTGATTAGACGATAAGTTTTAAAACTGTTTTTATAAATGTTTTAGTAGATCAGACAATAGCATGGATTCGCGTGCATTTTATCTTTGTTTTAAGATCTTTTCCGTACATGTTGTAGTGTTTCTATCTATGTATTATACAGTGAAAACACTACTCTTGCATGTATATTTTATTATTTTATAGCGTTATTTGATACACTATCCATAATTTTCATGCAGAACATATTGTTTTGCATTTATTGTAGGTACTTATTTCATCAGGCAGGTTGTAATCTCTGTGAATTTTTATGAAAATGTGTTAATTTTTTAATTATAAACATACAGCCTGACTAACACATCAAGTTGCCACAAACTCTTAATCGGGCCCACTAATACCAATGTTTTTTTTTTCTTTTTTGTGGCAAGCATGGTTTGTGCATTCAGCCAATGTCAAGTAAAATACCAAAGTTCTGAAATCAAATTAAAGCTTGATAGTGTTTTTATTTTCATCATTCCATCATTGATGGAATTGACTAAAGAATAATGGGACTAACCAGTTTTACAAAGAAATACATTAGATGAAACACTCTTAAACGGTAATAAATTAGATTAATTGATTGTAATAGGAAAGTTTATTTTTTTTTAAATGCTATTTTCATGTTTATTTTTTTACGCAAACTAAATAAGTTTCCCATAATTAAAATGTTGTAAGCACCTAAGGCACCAATGACTTACAAGAAACATTTACTAACATTCCCTTCCGCAAGCAATGAAACTAAGAGCAACCGACCACTAAATATGGCAACACCAAGAGTTGATAACTCGGTGCTACCATAGTTTGCAATCAGTCACCTTCTACCACTTTCATTGATTACAGAATAAAATGTACATCACTGGCTCCTGTCAGTCATTGGTGTCACTACCTTATCTGCTCAAACATGATGAATTAATATTATCAAAAATTACACTGTCTTTTAATATACAGGGTGTGACAAAAGTCCGAAATAAAACTTTAGGGTTTGGTTGTGTTCCTTGTATAGAATTACCTACGAAAGTTTGACGCCTTTCAGACCACTTTTATTTTTTAATTAAATTAATAAAAATATCGTTTTACACCTGCCTATGACAACCCTATAAATGCGTACGATTACTACTACCTAAACAGACCCCCCCTCTCTCCCCTAGGCGCCCCTGCGCTCCGCTCAGATACCTACAAATTTTTATTTCGGAATACATACCTACAAATTTTATTTCGGAATTCTGTAACACCCTGTATAATTATAATATTATACTTCACATTTAATTCTTTTCATGGATAATAATAATCAATTGTTTTAGGGTCTGGCCTTTACCAAAGTGCCACAATATTCCTTCACTGTCCGTCTCCTACAGGGCTCTATTATTTAAAGAATAGAAATAGGTACCTCTAAAGACATTGAAATTTTCACAGAATGTGAGTTACTGTGACTGCTAACACAACAAAATAAAAAAATAAAGTTGTCTGCATACATGAAAATTATCAAGTATTAAATATTCTATTGGGTAGTGGCAAACTTCCTGAGCAAAACCACAGACAAATTAACTTGTGCAGGTAGACGTTTTTGTATGTGAAATTGCTACTGTACAGGCTTCCTAGTCTATGGTGAAATCCTCAAGTAGTATGTTGCGGTACATACAATCGTGTGGACCAACACATTTTTTTTGTGTTTGTGTCTTTCTCCGTTTTACGCAGAAATTTAGCCAATGTCCAGTAGTGAGAGAGACACAACAAAGACTGCTGGGTAGAAACAGATTATCGTGGTATAAAGTCTTTAAGTAAATAACTGAATATCCGTTCTTCCTTGAGCTTTTCACTGTCCTGAAATCACAACACACACACAAAGACGTCATAGGTTAATCAATATTAACTTTTATGACATGGGTAGTGTAAACAACTATTTTCAAATAAAAATAAAGTCTATTAAAAGTTAGAGTTTAATATTGTATAACCAATCACAAATAAGGATTTTTTTTTTAACCAATAGTATTAGCTGTCATCTGTCAGCCAATGGCAAATGCGTTTAGGTAATTTCATATATGCAGATTCCCATTTTCAAAATACATATTTTAATTCTGATTTTCACCAATTTCTAATGAATTTATTCAGATTTTAATGATAGTCTTTGTTACCCTTATTAATAAACGTAGACTAAGCTTGAATTAGTTACTCTATGTTTTGTCTCTGTTCTTTGAATGACAAATGGCATTTAAGTGATATGAACAAAACACCCTGTAACTAGTCTAATAATAATAAATAAATATTTCCAACACTCACACCAATTAGCCTAGCCCCAAAGTAAGCACTGTAAGGCTTGTGTTATGGGATACTAGGGTAACGGATACAATACATATACTGTACATAAATAAGTATATTTTTATTTAGAAATACATATTAAACATCCATGACTGGAGTACAAATGCTCGTATTCATCACACAAACATCTGCCCCCACCGAGATTCGAACCCGGGACCTCTCGAGTCGGCGACACCATGAAACCCGGCGTACAAACCACTCGACCACGGCGGTCGTCTAAACTTGTTCCTCTTTTATTAATAAGGGGGTAAAGTTTAATTTTAGTCAATTTATGACATAATTTTTACCAAGGGACCAAAATGGAGTAGAAATCGAAGGTCTCCTTTGTACGCGAGTCGGACTCTCACTAAAGTTGACAATTATTTTTTAATAAATATTTCCGTGCATCTATAAAACATGAAATCATAGATAATTATGAGGTCAATGTCAGGGCATATATAGATAATGATAAACAGAAAACAATAATAACTATAGCTCGGAACAAGAACTATAATAAAGCTGCAATGACCTTTGAGCGTACACTTAGGCCGTATACAGAAAGAAAGCCGAAAGCCGATCGGCGCTTATCCTTCCTACATAAAGGAAGCCGATTAAAGCAGATCAAGAAAAAAGGTCGGACTCATCGGACGATGATTTGGTTTTGTTAGAAAATGTTTATTTAAAAATGCGAAAAACAGCTATACATCCTATAAATAGAGAAAGGAAACGTTTCGGAGAATACCATCATTTATTTGTAAAAAAAAATAAATTTGATGAACAAAGATTTTATACATATACAAGAATGATTCAAGAAGCATTTTATTACATTTTGGATTTAGTGAAAAACCGTTTGATGAAAAATTGGGGCAATTGGCATAAACAACCAATCCTTCCAGAAGAAAGACTTGTTGTCACCATTCGGTAAGTACGAAACAAATAATTTTAGCGCTTAGTTAATAAAAGATAAAGTTATTAGATTTATAAAAAGATTATAACTTAGATTGATTTATTCTAAGGATAATAATTCAAATACAAATTATTTATTATTCGTACCAGCGCGTGTCGGCGCTTATCGGCGCCGATAGGCGCCAATCGGCGCCGATCGGCTTTCGGCTTTCTTTCTGTATACGGCCTTACGCATAGACTATACGTATTACCCAACCAAAAAGTATTAGTGGCGTGTTGGTAGTTTGCATTTGACATTAGATAGCTTTTAAATTCGGTATCGTAAAGGTAACCAAGGTATCCCCAAGGAAGGCGTACAAAGGCCAAAGATTTCCAATTTGACGTTTGTATAGTGGTGCTCAAGCTGTTCGAAGCAACATATATTTGTGTCTTTTCTGGTCTCTATGTAAAAATAAGATGACTATATGAGTTTAGAATTTAAACTGCTTTAGTTTTTGTTCTGAGAAATATAGTGAACTATGAACGTTATTGACATGAGTATAGGATTTTTACAAGGTTATTGAGCTTCTTCTATTACCTACTAGTATGACCCTGATACCAGAGAAGATCGATGGCACAGGTGGTCAGCGCGTTCGGCTGCGATCGTTGAAGTTAAACAACTTTCGCAGTGGTCGGTCATTGGATGGGTGAAAAAAACCTTCTATCTCGAGTTCTTCCGTGCTTTGGAAGGAACGTTAAGCCGTTGGTCCCGGCTGCATCTGCAGTCGTTAGCACCCGCCAATCCGCAATGGGCCCGCGTGGTGGATCATGGCCCAATCTCCCTATTCCATCCATAGGGAAGGCCTGTGCCCCAGCAGTGAGGACATTAATAGGCTGATGATGATGATGAACCACTACTAAGCTAAAACTAGCAGACGACGGTAGGCCCCCTGGCTAGACCTTGGCACCGTTCCACATGGGTTTGTTATACGAGGACGTGGGGACTTGTACAGCAGGTTGAAAAGTGTGCAACCTTCCGGTCCCTCTAATTCTTGGTACTGGGACGCGGTGGCGACGACGCGTCCCTAGTAGACTTGCAACGAATATTCGGTTACTATTCGGTATTCGGCCTATTCGGCTGCTTTTATTATATTCGGCCGAATACCTAAATAATATATTTTGTCATTGAGAAATAATTGGTAAAATGAAAAATTAAAATCGATTGATTACGTATATAATCATATTTTCATTTCTGTTATACCTATAATCATTTAAGTAGTCATTGGTACATAACACAGGTACATAATCATCTTCTGAATTGGAAAAATGGAGGATTCTATGTATTTTAATTATAGTGGTAATCAAAATTTAGAAGGGTAGGGTTCTAATTTCTTTTATAATCATTTATTAAGTAGTCATTGGTACATAAAACAGGTACATAATTTAATCATTTTCTGTATTAAACAAGTTAACAGTTTTTAATTCATTCAGTCATGTGATGAATGGTTACATAATAGCAATAATTTAAAGTTTACGCGCCGTTTTTGGCCATGTCTCAAAAGATGGTTTT